TCCTCCAAAAGCAGCACCCACCACCCTGGAGGGGCCGGAAAGCCCCCTTGTAGTTATGTTCTTGCCGCCCAGGCCAACTCCAAACACACCTGCGAACCAGAATTTGCTTGCCCCTCACCAGGAGAAGAGAAGCCCCAGTAAAGAAGCTTCGTTTGGCCTGATGGTAGCAAAGCCAGCTTGCTGAAAGGCATCAGTCTTGGGACACTATGAAGACTGATTTATTAATGCAGGTGCTTTTGCGGATCACTGCGCGTGGCACTGGATGCACAAAGGCCCAAGAAAGAGGATTAGAGGGACTCCCAGCTGTTGCTCTTCTCTCTCCTCTGCAAATCTGCCTCAAGGCACTGTATCCAAACGTTGGCTTCCTCCTCCAAGAACGCCCCGGCAGAGATGCCCTCCTGACATCCTAGGTGGAGGGGGGCCTGGTTCCTGCTGCTTAGGTGAAAATGGCACTTGGAGCACAGGAATTGGCTTTGGAATTGGCTCACTTCAGGTCCCCAGCAGCAGGTGACCAGCGCACGGGAAGAGCAAGCCAGGATTTCTGGATGCTGGCAGGGCACTGAATTTGTGAAGTCCCACCTTCAACATGGCACAAAAGGGAAGAGGAAGGGGAAAAGTTGCAGGTATTACTGAGTCCTTGGCTAGGTTAACTGTTGGGCTGGTTCTGTGCAGAGCTGAACAAAAGTGATGTATCTGTGGATAGCCCAAAGATGAAACGTGATGCAAAAAGTAATGGAATTAGTTCACAGATTAATTTTTATTCAAACATAGGGTAGAAAACAAGCAGCAGCTGTAGAACTGGCTATCTGAGATAATCATAATCTAGGGAAAAAGCAGTTATCAGATCCTTTAGGTTTTTTAAAAAGGCCACTTCAGGAGGCCACTTTGGTTAAACATTAGAATAAAAGGTTTCTGTACATTCAGAGCACATGGAATAATTCTGCCCCATCTGAGAAGAGGGAGAGGCCCACCTAAATTGCCCTTACTCCTTACCCATTTCCCAGGGCCAGGGCCCCCCTTGGTGCCACAGGTGGCTATTCCCAGGTTATTCCTTTGGACAAGACCAAGGGGGGGGGGTACCAAGTGAAGGCAGCGGAAGCCGCCTCTCCTGGGCAGCCCTTGTGTCCCTGCAGACTCGGCATCCTCTTCCCGCAGGCATGGCTCCCACCAGCCCTCCGGATGAGGGGTGTCCCATTGTTTGCAGCATCAGCGTGAGGTGTGCCCTGCTCCATCTGTGTGCTGTCATCTGCCCTGGTGCTTCCTTTTACAAACAGAACCCCCGTGGAACAGCCCCAGCTGCTTCCCCACTCAAAACTTCTTCCACCACCACCACCCCCCATTCTAAAGTTACAGAATTAGTGTTGTCAAAGGAGCTGGGGTAGGGAGGGGCCTGTCTTCCAATGGAAAGAAGCAGGTAACTCCTTTGTCCCAATTGCAATCAGTGCCGGGGCTTGCCAGGTCCGCATCCCTTTCTGGACTGGCTTCCTCTTTCAAGGCACAGCCGGGGTTCCCTTCCCTCCAATCTGCTCCTGCAGCAGAGGAGGAGGAGGCCGGCCGTGGAGGGGCAGTTAAAAAAGGAAGCCTATCAGAGAGGTGGCTCTACGGATGTGCCAGCCCGCCCGCCCCTCCCCCTGCCAAGGCCTGTCCCCTCACGGTTAGTGCTGGACTTTACACATTGTGAGCCAGAACGGGGAGCACCTGATTCAGAGAGCCTCCTTTGCGGAAAACTTCCTGCCCTCCCCCCCAGGGCCACTCTCTGCAGAGGCAGCCACAGCCAGCAGCCTGAAGTTGCCCCCGCCCCTGTCCTACTGGTGCCTGGAGATCTCCAGCACCTCTTGGGATCTGGAGCTTAATGCCAGTTTTGGAAAGCTGAACTTGCTGGATGGCTCCCCTGTGACGGTCGTCTCCGTTTGGGGCCTGGGTGCAGTTCCGGCCTCGGGGGCCGACTCCCCATTGCGCTTCTTGAAGCCAGGGAGCGCGATCCTGGGGGGCTTGAATTTGGCAGCCTTGAGGGCAGCGGAAATGGCGACCCCGCCGTGACCTTCCTCCTTGGCCTCCTCTGCTTTCACCAGTTTGAGGCTCAGCTCTGGGTCACTCTCGGCCCCCTTAGAGGGAGACAGGAGCTCCACCTGGGGCAGTGGGATCTTCCCCAACTTGCTCGCCCCACCCTGCAGCAGCCCCTCTGCCCTCTCTCCCTGCAGCTGGGTGGCTCCCTCGGCCTTGGAAAAGCCCAGCTTGGGCACCTTCACCTTGGAGGAAACCGCCTCAGCTCCCCCGCTGAGTTCAGTGGCCTCCTTGGGCCTGGAGAGGGACAGCCCGAAGGGGGCCCTCAGCTTGAGTTTGACCGCCTTGGCCTGGCTGCCCTCTTCTCTCGCCAGGAGCCCACCAGACCCCTCCTTCTCCCCAGGCCTCCCCAGGGCCAAGAGGCCCTCCTGGGCTTCCATCTCCTGCCCCACAAGGCCCTCAGGAGCCTCCAGCCCTGCCCTGGGCAGGAAGAGGCCAAACTTGGGGATCCTCACCCTGAGTCGCTTCCCTGCATCTGAATGGCGGTCTGCCTGCTTCCAGCCCTCCCTGCCTGCCACTTCCAGATCCAGGGATCCCCTCTGCTGGGTGTGGGGGGCCCCCACCTCATATTCAGCATGGGTTTTGAGATTTGGAGCAGAAATTTCCAAGCCAGGGACCTTAAAAACCAATTTCTTCCCCTCCAGCTCTCCCCCACCCGCACCCCTCTGGCTTGGAGAAGTGGCCCTCTCTGTGCCCTCTTTGGTGCCTACTACCCCACATGCAGTGATAGCTATTTTGGGCATCTTCAGCATCTCCAGCCCCCCCTCCAGGTTTGTTGCCCCTGCCACCTTGGCCTCCTCTCCCCTCTCCTGATCCCCAGAGAAGCTGACATCGGGCAAAGCAATCTGGGGCATCCTGAAGGCAGGCGCTGCCTCCTCGGCAGGGGGGCAGAGGGGCTGGGTATCCAGGCTCAACTCAGCCTCTGGCTTGGAGACGCCAAGGGACGGGAGCTTCAGCCTGAATCTGCTCTCCTCGGTTCCCGTCCCAGTTTCTGTTTCCAGTTTGCCAAGGCCAAGAGGCAGAGTGGGCACCTTCAGTCGGCCCTCTTTCACCCCTGTTTCAGAGCCCAGGGCGTCCGTGCTTCCCCTGATTTTGGGAGGCTTCAACTCCACTTGGGGGACCCAGGGCAAATCCTCCTTGCCCTGCCCTTCTCCCACTGAGCCTGAGGCCCCAAATGTGGGCCACTTTACTGAAGGAGCGCCTACTGTGACCTTGGGCGTCATCCCTCCCCCGTCCAAACCCACATCAAGCTCTAGCTCCGGAGCCTTCACTTTTGGGGCGCTGAGCTTTGGCAGCCCCATTGGAGGCATCTTGAACTTTGCTTCTGGCCCTTCCGGGGCAAGATCCACCTTGGCTGGAGGCAGCTCCACCTCCGGCAGCCAGGCCTTGGGAAAGGAGATGTCCACTTTGGGCAGCCGTACCTTGGTGCCCAGGGCAGAGGCTTCAGCCACCCCTTCTAGGTCTTTCTCCCCATCCTTCCCCAGCAGCTGCATGGCCGCCTCTGTCCCGCCCTCCTCGCCCTTCCCAAGTTTCGCCAGCTCCACCTTTGGCAGCTTGATCTTGGCCCCTGCGTCAGGGGCTGCCTGGAGAATGCCTTCTTCTTTACCAGCTATGGACAAACCAATGCCCAGCTCTAGTGTGGGAGCAGACACCTGGATGGAAGGCGCTCTGGGCATCTTGAGTTCTCCCTCCTGCTGCTGGATCTTAGCCTTGGCTGCACCTCCTGCCGGTTTCTCCACAGTTGCCGCTCCTTCAGCTTTAGAAGTAGGCACAGCAATCTCCACTGACGGCACCTGAACCTTGAAACCAGGACTCTCCGGCTCTGGGATCAAACCTGCCTTGGCTCTGGGGGCAAGCTTTGGCAACTCTATCTGGGGGAGGACTTTCCCATCTAGTTCTGGAGCTGAAAGGTGGAATTTCTTTCTCTCTCCTTGGGCCGTCAGAGAAGGAAGCTTCAGCTGGGGCATCTTCCCAAATGGGCCTCTGGGCTTCTCCTTCGGACTCCCAGGGATCTTCTTGGCTTTGGCCTCTACTTCTCTTCTCACGAGTCCCAAAGAAACTACCCTGAACTTGGAAGCAGCCTTGGCGTCCTTCTCCAGCATCCTGGGGTCCGGCTGCCCTGTCGAGCCCTCCTTGCTGCCTTGCAGCTTTACCTCCCCACTCTCTAGGGCACCCCACTCTTCCTCCTTGCCTTTGCCCCCGAAGCTCAGAAGTGAGAGTTTGGGCCCTTTAAACTTGACCCCGAGGAGTTCAGGAGAGGTTCCCTCCCCATCTCCCTCAGACCATCCTTCCGTGCCTTGGGGGTGGCCAATATCCACCTCCACCGTGGGCAACTTCATTCTGCTCTCCGTAGCCCTTTCAACCTTGAGGGCTAATTTGGCATCTTCTGCCTCTGCTGCCCATTTTGATTTGGGGAAAGAGATCCCAAACTTTGGCAATTTCAGCTTTGAACCCAGGTTGGCAGCTTCTGTGCCCTCCACTCCAGACACCGCAACTTCCGGGCTTGTTTTGCTCCAGACTTTGGGGCCAGAAATGCTGAATTTGGACAGGGCAAATCGGGATAGTTTTGCCTTGGCCTGACCCTCGGCCGTCGCCTCTGGGAGACGTATTGATGAGATCTCCACAGTTGGCAGCTTCACCTTGGCTCCTTCTAGGTCAGCCTTTGGCCCTTCAACGTCCTCTGGCTGCTCCTCAAAGGCAAGGCCCACCTTAGGGAATTGGGCTACCATCCCAGCGAGGGACGGCCCTTCGATGCTCTTCATCCCTGGCCCCAGCTCAGGCCTGCTGACCCCACACTTTGGAAGGCTGATTTCTACCTCCAGTTCTTTGCTCAGGGTCTCTAGGGTGACCTCCTGGGCTTTAGGTCCCTGCTCAGAAACTTCTCTTTCACGCTGCGCCAAATCCAGCTCCACCCCAACTCTCGGCAGCTCAATGTCCAGCTCAGGCAGAGTTACAGATGCAGCACTCAGTGGGGCTGGAGGAACGGTCACCTCAACCTTTGGCTTCTCAACAGCACAGATGCCCACCTCTGGCTTTGGCACCTTAGGAAGTTGCACACCTGGCATCTTCATTGCCGGCAAGGAAACATCCACCTTTGGGAGGCTGACTTTTGTTCCCAGGTCTCCTTCCGGTTTTGGCATTTTGACCTGGACTGGAGGAGGGGAGGGGGCTGCCTTGACAGGGAAATCAAATTTTGGGAGGGATATTTGAGGCATTTGAAACTTAAATCCAGCCCCTTCAGCAGCCTCTTTGGGTTTTGCCTTTCCAGAAGGGGCAGCTGGTTCCCCCATTGCCTTGCACAGGTGCATATCCTGGACTTTGGGAGCAGAGATGTCAAGAGACAGCACCCTCACCTCAGGGAGCCTCACCTGAGCATCACCTGCCGCTGCAGCTGCCTCCTGGCCCTGCAAAGGCTGCTCCCCCAGGGAAATCTCCAGGGCAGGCAGCTGAATTACGGAGCCCTTCGTCTTGTCTGCCGTGGGGCTCTCTGGTTTCCCCACGCTGATTTCCACCTGGGGCAGCTTGCCTGCTCCTTCTTGGGCCTTGGAGCCCAGCTGGGGTAGGTTGACCAAGGGGAGCCTCCCCGAGATCTCAGGGCTTTCTGCACCTGTCTTCCCCTTGGGGAAGGGGAGCTCTAGAGGCACCCCAGGAGCCACCATGCCCAGAGAAGGCGCTGCCCCTCCTGGTCTCGGCTGCTCCTGCAAAACCTTTTCCCGACTTTCTCCCAGGGCCATTTCCAGGTCAGGAACCTTCACCGAGGGCAGCTTCAGTTCCGCTTCCTCAGCAGAGATCCCAAACTTGGGGACTTTGATCCTGAACCCCTCTCTTTTAGGGGCAGCCTCTGGGGCAGCACGCTCCAACCTGGGCAGGGCCAAGTCTACGTCCACCTTGGGAGCTGCCACTTCAGCTGCAGGGAGCTTCAGCCCGGCTTGGAGGAGGCCTGGGTGGGTCTCCAGCGCATTGGCACTTCCTTTGGGCAAGGCAGCCTCCACTTTGGGCCACCCGAACCGAGACTCCGAGACCGCGAGGCTCTCGCCTTTGGGGCCGGCCTCGAGCGACTCCTCCTCAGCCCCCATTTTAGGCAGAGCAAATTCAACTTGTGGAGCTTGGAATCCCACTTCCATTTTTGACCTGGCTTCTTCCTTGGGCTTCTTTGTTTTGGAAAAGGGGATGGTGAATCGGAACATCTTCCCCTCGCCTCCTCCTCCCCTGCCTGCCTTCTTCAATTCCAGTCCAACGTGGGGCAGGCCCATGGCAAGGCGGGCCTCGGCTGCAGCCGCTTCCTTGACCCTTAGGCGGGGGAACCTCAGTCGGTGTTGTTTTGTCTCTAGGGAGGACAACTTCCACGCACTGTCTGGGCCCGGTTCAGCCACGGCCACCTCTCCAGCACTCCTGGCCTTGCGCAGCTTGGAGAACTTGGGGAAGGAGAATTCCACATCAACCGGAGGCCCCTCGGGCTTCCCAACTGCCAGGTGTGCCTCCGTCTCCTGCAGGCTCTGTGACACCATCCTCCTCCTCCTCTTCTTCTTCCTCCTTTTCAGGGAGGAGAGACTCTTGATGTTCTGAGGAGAGAAGAGGCAAGGAAGGGGTCAGTGAGCCTCCCCGGCCAAGAGGCCTGCCTCGTTCCCTGAGACCTGAGGGGCGCTTCTCCTACCCTGAACTCTGCAGTCTCTGGCAGAACTCCTGCATCTAAGGGGTTCTGCCCCATTTCCTTTACGACTGACAGGGAGGGGCAGGGGGTTCCTGGCTCCGTTTTCTCAAGCCAGGGAATGTCAGCATCTACCCCCCTTTAGGCCCTCTCAGCCTTGCTTACAATGCAGGGGGACTCCAAGGACAAAACAGGAGAGGGACGAGGGCCCAACCGATCTTTCTGTAGGAAGCAGAAAGGTTGGGAAGCAAACAGAAACTTGCAGGCTGTTGGGAAAGGAAACGAGCAAAGATCCTGCCTCGAGCTGAGCAGATCGTCTCATCGCCCTCCGGAAACCCACCAGGAGTGCCTGCAGAGTGACCTGCGAAAGCCGATTCTGATTTAGACCCACTCCGTAAGGGGGCAGAGGAGCTGCTCCTCCTGTCTTGAGTGGTGTACCGTACAAGTGGGAGAAAAAAGCAGCAGGATTGAATCTGGATTCCATTATAAATGCAACTTGCATTTTAGATGCATCCACTGCTGGAATTGCCCTTTAACGGATTTCTTAGTCCTGCATAAAACTTACTTATCAGCAATCTCCCTCCTCGGATGACTGCCTGGAAGATTCCCAGTTCATTTTATCAGCCAAGAGAAGCCCAACAAAAACTACTTCCCTGTTTCTCCTCTGAACTTGTGCTGAGAAAGAGGCGGCCTTTGAGGACAGTCGATGGATCTCCTCTTGTGCTCCGCCTCAGCCTTGGTCTGGGGCTGTCACCTCACCCTCCCTGGGTGGCTGCCGTGCAGAGGAAGGCAAAGTCTTGAGTTCCTGGAGGTAAAACACACCCAGGACTGCCAGAGTCACCTACCAGCTTGGCCATCTTGGCTTTGGGGCCTCTCACTTCAAAGACGGTGGCTCCAGGCTTGCGGGAGATGTCTGCGCTGGGAACCACCCGCTTCAGGCAGAAGGAGATTTTGTACGGTTCAGCACACTTGAGGATCTGCAGGGCGTCTTCATACTTTATGTTGTCAAAGTAAACTCTGGCGCTCAGGAGCTGATCGCCTGCAAGTTGCAAGATGGGTGAAGGAGGATGTTAAGGGCATCGCGGCCATCTGGTTCTCGGCCTGCTGGTTCCCAAGATCTCTGGCCACCAGGCAGCTGCCCAGGGCACGGCACCCGCTCTCCCACGAGTGCAGCCCTGGAAGGCACGAGAGCAGAAAGGCCTGAGCAGCCAGACGAGGCAGTGCCCCGTCTTGTCCTTCCAGCCCTGCTGCCAGTCTCTGCCCACCCGAGTTGGGCCCTTCTGGATCGCTCACCTTCCTGGAGGCTCAGCACTCGCGCAGCCGGGGAGTCCTTGAGCACGTCCTTCACAAAAAGGCCTTCCTTCCCTCCACCGGCCACGCTCAGCCCCCTGGCCCCGGCTCCGGCCTCAGTCTCCACCACCATCTCCAGCAGCTCAGAGGCCTCGATGGTCTTCTGCAAAGAAAGAAGAATCCATCCATCCATTCTTTGCCTCTGGCTTCCTGGGGTGGGAAGGGGGGTGTCACTCTACTAAATTTGCCACGTGATAAAACTGGCTGTTCTGGAAGATTCTTTTTACAAGGCTGCTTGTCAAACAGGGCAACCGCAAGGAATGGCAGGCGTGGAGAAGGCAGAGGGCAGCTTAAGGAAGTGTGTGCAAAGGGGGCGCCTGTTTGATGGCACTTGCAAAGCTGTGTTTGCCTCAGGAGGAAGATGCCAAAGATGGCTTACCGCTTCTGCCAGGTACACCTGCTCAGTGTGGATCCCCTCAGAACCCAGTGAGAGCAGGTCAGGCTTGCCAAAGCCACCCAGCAACTGCCACCTGCAGGGGACCGTCAGGTGAAGAGGGGATCCTGCCCCATCCAGAGAACCCCCCAGCTTGGCTTCACTTGCTCAGCTGAGCTGGGGATCTCCCTAGCTTTCAAGGCAAGGCGATCTGAGAGCCCCCCCCCATTCAGAGGTCCCTTCCTGTAGCCATTGAAGCTCTTCAGTCTCCCACCATGCTCACCTCCATTGCAATGAATTGTGCTGTCATCCTGGGGGGGTGGGCAGCAGAAGGAAGTGCCCCTCCAATTCAGGACCTCCTCCTTGGTTTGTGCCTTTTCTCAGGAGGACCCCTTCAGCACCACATGAAGCTTCTCTTCGTAGTCCTGGAAGGGGATGGAGAATCTCAGCCCCTGGTAGAGATTCTGCAGGCTGCAGAGGTGGGAGCACCAGCCATGTTCCCAGAGAGGGTGCTGAGACACGCCCAGCCTCTCCCCTGCCCTCAGCTGAAACAATGATTCTTGAGCTTCAGGAATTGCCCCAAAGTAGTCCTGGCTCTCCCTCCACCTCCTTCCGCCCACAGGAGAGACCCCTTGGAAAGAATCCTCTACCCCCCCTCTTCCTCCCACCTTAGGCCCTTCAGAGTGAGCCCAGCACTGCATCAGGCAGCACATCCCTCTGACCCCCCCCCACTAGGAACAGGGAGCAAAAGCATGATTGCTGGGGGGGGGGGGTAAAACCTTCCCCTCCCCGTCAACTGCAAGTGGGCCGTCATGGAGTAGGCTCATCACCCTCCTGCAGGCACCCACAAGACCTCCTTGCCCCAGAGTGGTCCAGCCTTGGCATGGCACCCCCCCCCCCAAAGCTGCCCCTGTTTCCAGGGGGGAAATGTCTCAGGCTTCAGAAGAGCACCCAAAGCCCAGAGAGGAAGGAGCTTCCCTTGGCTCCAGTAGAGCCAGCGGCAAGGAAGCTGAACACCAGGGAACACACAGGCTGCGGTGATTCTTTCTGCCCCTCCAGAAAGTTCAGCTCTAGCTCCCATTAGCCGGGGGGGGGGAGGAGAGACCAGAGGCATTGGCCACTTTCAGAGTCACTGCCCAACTGCCGCTGGTAAGATTGCCCCCCCCCCGGCTGAATCCTGCCAGTGTCAACTCAGCCTTTCCTTGGTAGGCTTCTGCCCCCACCCTTGGTGTAGTCTTGTTCTGTTCTGGTTCTGGGCAGGCAGAGCAAACTGTCCTAAGATTCTTTTGTTTAGAAAGAATCCAAAAGTATCTGCCCAGCAACAGAATTGCTGCCCAGGTGGGAGAAGGAGGGAAGCAGGTGGGGGGGGAGGATTTCTGAGAGGCAGATTTAAGCAAGGGAGGCATCATTGGGGAGATGGCAGGCCCCATTTGCCCAGGATCCAGCAGGAATCCACCCCTGAACCAGTTTTCCAAAAGGGCTGAGTAAGTCAAAGCGGCGAGGGGCTTTAGGGCAGCAGCGAAGGCAGGGAGGGGCACAAGGGAGCTGGCCATCTCCTGAGCTCCTTTGGAGTCGTCGACAGCAGAAAGGAAACCCTCCACAGGACTTTTGCTTCCTTTCCTGCTGGTCAGTCCTGGGTTGGGGGCTGCTCTGCTCAAAAGCAGGCCACAACACAACCAGTTCTCCGGGTCCCTCTGGGTGAAATGGCACCTCCCTTGCAGGGAAACTCTGCCCACAGCCTGGAGTTCGATCCTGACAGGACTCAAGATTGACTGAACCTTCCATCCTTCTGAGGTTGGTAAAATGAGGACCCAGATTATTGGGGGCAAATAATGCAGACACTGTTAACCACCCAGAGAGTGCTATAAAGCTCTGTGGATCAGTATATAAGTCTAAATGCTATTGTTATATGCTATTGCTATTTCTTGTGCAAACTATCCAATTTATTGGACAGAATTTTGCAATGACTCTGCCCTATTTATATCACACCTTGGGTGCTTATTTTAGTTACTGTTATTTTTGTTATTATTTAAGTTTGTGTACCATCCAGAGACATTGGGAAGTATACAAATACTAATAACAATTTTCAGTTATGTTTTAATTTGGCGGCAGCTTGGGGCACCGCTTGTTATGCCTTTCATCTGGGCAGGGGAAGCCCACAGGAAGGCCACCACCTCCCTCGGGGCCTCTGGAAAAGAGAGCCAGATCCTGCCCCATGGATGCTTTTGGGATAACCTCCCACACACAGGCGGGAGCAGCAGCAGTAGTTCCTTTCCTGCCTTTCAGCCCAGCCATGGTGGAAGCCATGCTGCTGCTCGTGCAGGGCATTTCATTCCCACGCTGGATGTTGGGGGCCCACGCCACTCCATTCCCCAAAAGGTCAGGGCTCCGTGCCAGGCATTCCCTGCCTGGGAAGACAAAGGGGTGCTGAGTCCCAGCCAGGCCTCTGGCATTGCCAGCATTCCAAGGAGAATTCCTCCACACCTCTTCAGAGTCCACTGTGGACAGAAGGCCCAAAGGCTCCATCCTCACAGTGGCCACTGAGCAGGAGCAGGGCCCAGGCGCAAGCATGGCAGCCCCCCTCCTTTGGCCAAGCAGAGGGGTCAAGACTGTTGGGCTGTTACCTCTCTCTGCTTGCCTGTGCAGCCTGTCCACTAGGGCAACTCAGAGGACCAGCCTGGGAGGACGAAGGGGGCTCACGGCAAGAGAGGAAGGGAGGTAACATACAGCCCGGAGGATCTTTGGTCCGCTGCCTCTGGATAGGCGTCCCTGGCAGGGCTGGGAACAGCTCATGGAAGTGTTTGTGGCCACCAAAAGGCGAAGCAGAAGCCTCATCCAGTTGGGCCAGGCCTTCCATGGAGCCCAGAAAGCAGCTTCCAGCAAGGCTCATCCAGGCCTGGTGGGAACCCCTGGAGGTGAGGGCTTCGGACACTGGGACACAGCTGTCGGAGGCCTCTTTTGGCAGGAGTCCAAGTCGCCTCTTTGGCAACAGCACAGTAAGTCCCTTACACTGGCTGGAGCTGACAGGCCCAAGCGGAAAGCCAAGATCTGTCTCCGGCCCAGCTTCCCCAAGCACGGGCAGCAAATTAAAAGTGAACCTAGCGAGGTGTCAGGCTGAGTCCGGTGAAGAACTCCACAGTCTCTGGGCCAGCCGGAGGAAGACACTGACGCGACTTCAGGAGCTCCCATAGTTTAAATGGAAGAGGCAGAGAGCGAAGAGAGCTGCTCCCACTCGGGAGCAAGAGAATTGGGGGCTTGTTTGGGTCCCTCCCCCCTCTGCTCACAGCTGAGCTGCTAGAAGGTTGGGGAGAATGTCAGGCATTCTGTAGTCTCAGCAAAACTCAGGAGGGGCCGGGGCAGAATGGGGGCCGAGGCTGCAGTTCCACCCAGCAAAAAGATCCCAGGAAAGTGACTCAGCCTCCATCCCTCAGATGGGCAGCCCAGATGCCATTTCAGACGCAGGTGCCTCAAGGAGACTGGCCTTGCTAGACCGCTGTGCCTCTTGTGCACTTGTGCTGGACATCAGCCTGCCCACCTGCCGGCTGCCCACTCCTGCTTTGTTCACCTTGAGAGCAGCCTTGCCCTGGCTTTGGGAGAGCAGGTCACAAGCCCGGTCAAGTTGAGCTGAGGGAGAGATCACAGGAGAGCTAGTCCAGAACACATGGGGGGGTGGGTGGGGGGGGTGTCTGAGCAGGACTTTTGAGCTGTGGAAATCAAGAGCAGAACAAAATGGTAAAATCAGAAACACCTCAGAGGTCAAGAGGAACAAACATGAAGTAAAAAAGAGAACTTTCTCCTTTGGGAGAGATTGCCAGAATCGGGCTGCCCTCAAGACCCCGAGCCATTTTCTCTCCCATTCCCTCCTTCAAGAGACATGCTGGCTGCGCTGGGGCGTTCAGCTCAAGAGAAAGGAAGCTTCACCCACCTGCCTCACCCCAGGATCCTCTGGCTAATTCTGGACCCGGATCCTGATAAACACTTCCAGCCAGATGCCCTCGAATCAGTGCCCTGCTCCTTCCTCTTCCTCTCTCCTTAGCAGAGCAGGCTAAGACGGTCCTCTTTTGAGAATCCTCTTCTCCTTCCCGAGAAAGCCGGCTGGAGGAGCAGGCACTGGAGAGAGAGACAGCGTGAGCAAGGACAAAGATTGGAGCTGGGTAAGAAGGGAGAATCGGCCCTTTTAGGCTGGGCTGTGAAACTACACGGCCCTCGGGCTCCGGGGATGGCTTCCAATGACAGGCCCAGCAGCGGAAAGTGGGAAGGCTGGTCTGAGCCCTTCTCCTGCCAGTCAGGCCCAGGGCTGGGAGGAACGAGGCCTTCCCATCTCCCACACTGGACTCCAAGGATGACCACCAAAAGCACCTGGGCCCCTCAAGGCCGATTCCAAGGACCAGCGGCAGCCCTCATGCCCATCTTGGCCGGTCCCTCCTTATCTTGGTTCTGGTCATCCCCCAAGAGCCCTGTGCTCGCCTTCCTGTGTCCCTCGGCCCGTCTGCGGCCTCTGGGCTCTGATCCCCTCTCTTTCCAAAAGACCCTCCCTTTGAGGCCCCTCTCTTATCTTTTCCTTTTCCCTCCCCCCAAACCAGACTGCAAAGTGGGCTTCCCTGAGGTCTCAGCAGCTCTCAGGAAAGGAACCGACTCCCTTCCTGAGTTGGAGCACCAGTTCTCGCTCGCTTCCGGTGTTAAATACAGGAAGACGAGCCAAGGAGCTTTCCTAGGGTTCCAGAGTTCATGATCCAATCAAACAGGAAAAGCCCATTTGCACTCAGCTAGAAGCCGCTGCCTGGTTTCCGAAGAAGCTGCCCTCTCTGCGAAGGGGGCTCTTCTTGTGTGGGTTGTCCCAAGCCACCCGGACAGCTTCTGGGAGATTGGAGGAGCAGAGCCCAGGTGCCTACAGGTGAGCACGGCCAGGGGCCAAAGCCTGGGGCAGCCCAGACAGCTTTCCAAGCCAGGAGGAGCAGGCTTGACCATACCAGCGGTTGCCATGTGCCCTGAGACGGAGGTCACTGCAGCCAGAAGAGCCACCGCCAGATCGCTTTCTTCTAAAGAGCAGGAGGGAGGCTCGGAGGGCAGCTCTGAGGCTGCCACATCTCCCTTGCAAAAAGCCTACTGGCCACCCAGGGCGGTATCTACCACGCCACCTTACAGAGCCACGAACCTTGGCTGCCATATGGTGCTCCTTTGGATACTGCAGACCAGAACTGCTGCCCCGAATTAAGTAAAAGACGGGAAAAGGGAAGTATCAATCAAAGGTTGAAGAAGCTGCCTGGCACCTGACCGGGGAACCAGCGGCCCCGGGGACGTTTTGCAAGTTTGGAAGGAGAAAAAGCGGCCGCCCTCCAAACGGGCTTGGCCCAGGCTCAGCACGGTCCCTCGACCCCCTCCCCCCTCGATGCCCCGGCACTGGCTTTTCCTGGGCCGCCGGGCAGCCCAAGAAGCTCCTGGTCGATATCCGAGGGGAGGGGGCTGCCGGGCCAACCGGGAGAAAGCTGACGGCGCGCCGTCTCCTGTGGCCGGGTCGGGAAGAGCGCGGAGGCTCGGAAAAAGCCGGCGAGTTGAGCCTCGCCCCAGGCGCTCCCCCGGCCAGCAGAACTCCGGCGTCCACCTGCCCAGCGGGAGTCCAACTCCGCGCTCGGCCGCGTCCAGCGAGCCAGGCTTGGAAGGGGCCGAAGGACGCCGAGACCTCCCCCCCCCGCACAAGGCCAGCGTGGTTCTGTACAGCGAGTCGCCCCGGTCTGTCCGGAGAGGACTCGCCGGTTGGGGAAAAGGGCAAGCCGCGAAGAGCCGGCCCCTTCGGACTCACCCGAGCCGGTTCGTGCGCTCCGCTCCGCAAAGCTCAACCGCAAGTCTGGCTGAGGCGCTCCGGGCGCGGTCCAGCAGGAAGGGGGCGGCTCTGGCCGACCCTCCATCCCGTGGGCGTCCAAGGCGGCCGCGGCGGGGCCAGGCAGGGCCTGGGCGGCGTCGAGCCGGGTCCGAGGCAGCCCCGCCCAGAGAGACGTTGCGACCGAGGCGCCACTCCGGCCCTCCCTCCGCCACAGAAGGCCCGTCGAGCGGGCGAGGCGGCAAGAGTCACCCCCAGCAAGGGAAGGGAAGGGAGCGAGGAAATGTACCTGGGGGGGGAGGAGGCTGGGCACCCCTCGCTCTCCGCAAAGGACCCTGCCGGAGCTGCCGACTTGCATCTTTGCGGGCAGAAACGCCGCGTTGTTTCTGCTAAGGCAACTCTCGGATAAGCAAGTTGTGTCTCATCTCCTGTACCAGAACCGGCCAAGATTACCGGGAGAAGCTGCTGGGAAAGGCCCGTGGTTTCATCTTGCCTTTCCGCCCCCCCCCCTCTCCGCAGGGCCTGTGAACCAAACTGCCACCCACTGAAGAACTACCTGTGCCACCCAGGACTGCAGGGAAAGAGTCTCCAGCTTTGCAGTGGATGAACCTGGACCTGGAATCAGGAGAGGCCTGGCATTCAAGTGAGGCACCAACTTTACCTCAACCGCCTGGCCACAGTGAGAAGCCATCGCCAGAGGCCAAGGGTGGCTGCTAGGAAGAATTTCTGGGCTCCGTTTGACTCTTCACAAGTTTCCACCCCATCTCAGCCACAAGGCTGGGGAAGACGCCAGGAGCTCTTGCGGTACCCTCCTCCAGTGGGGAGCTGAGCTTTTTCGGAAGGGCTGGACAAATGTGCCCCTCCTGCTCTCTGCTGGACTGGTGCTGGACTGGTGCTCCAGCCAAGTCATCCAGGAGCCTGCCCGTCGGAAGAGCATCATGGAGGATGTCAAGAGCTGCCAGCTGGGGTGGCATTTTGTGGGGCAGTGGTCCACACAACTTTGGAGAGCAAGATGTGTTTGTGGTTGAGGTTATGGCAGTTGGGTGAGACTGGAAAATGTTCCCTTGCAGGCACACACTGAGACCCAAACGGTGCCATGTTCGGTCCTATCCACGTGTCCCAAAGGTGCCTTTGGGGTTTTTTTTTTCTTTGAAAATTTGTCGCTTCTCTTCCAAGAAGTTGAACTGAAGAAGCTTCTTAGAAGAGAAGTGAAACTTTTTCGAAGAAAAAAATAAACAAGAAAGTCCAGTTGCCTTTTGGAAAAAGCACCTTTGGGACAACCCTGACCTGGATGATGGAGAATCTCTATAGACGTCCCACCCTCTTCCTCTGCAGTTTTTCATTCTTTCTTTTCCTTATTATCTATTTGCTGATCAAATCTCTGCCACAGCCAAATGAGTTTTGGTAACCAACATAGAAGTTTTTTTAGGCAAAAGAAAAATGTTTAAAAAGCAGATTGGGTCAGTCTTAGAGTACATTTAGATGTAAACACAGAAATCTGTAGCTTACAAAAAAGAGGCCAAGGAATGGTGATAGTCCAGAGGTTAAGAGCCTCTGGGGAAGGCTTCAGGAGGGGATTAGGGGAAAGTCCCCCCCCTTCTTTGCTCCATGTTTTAATATCAGTCTGATTCACAGAGCAAGATAAAGTGAGATAGGCTGGCCTTGTGTGAACTTCTGTAGTTGTGTCAATAAACAGTAACTAGTCAAAACACATTTTAATGTATTGTTCAGCTCCAACCACCATTCCACTGCAAGGTTGGGAACAGCCACTTGCTTAGACAATCTGAAGATGGATTTATACCACCAATTATTGGAAGACAAGCAGCCTGCAATCTCCCTGAGCAGCAGGAGGCGATCAGGCAGGGCAGAGCAAAACCCAGAGCCCACTTTCCTTGTTTTCATTCGTAGCTGGGTTGTCACTGTGGAAGAAAAGCTGTTGGATTAGATGCGCCCCCCCCTTGATCTAACCCCAAATAGTTCTACATTCTTCACCTTAAATTGGTGCCAAATCAGTTCAGAATTTGCCCTCTGCATGAACTCCCTATCCTGGAGTTTCTTTCCACTCCAGCAACCACTTTGGGCATCCCTTCCAAGGCCAGCAACATCCCCTCCCTCACAGAAGCCCCCGCCTTGTCCCACAAACTCTCCCTCACTGCCTCCCCAGGACATCCATCAAGGGATTTGTCTTTCTCTTCCAGCGCCAAATGAGGAGGCCCCGAGTGCAGGTTGGGATTCTAACCTGCTCCCTGAAAAGGCCCCCTCCAGCCCGGGGGGGGGGGGAGTGGAGTTGCAATTGCTGTGGCTATTCCAAAGCAAGAGGGGAAAGCCACAGTCGGGTGCGCTTGGTCGAGAGGCTCTGGGGGCTCTTGGGGCGGGAAAGAAGACCCTGTACCAGCAAAGATTCTCTTCCTGTCCCTCCTCAAATACACAGAATACATGCCATTCCAATATGAAAGTGTTGAATTCTTTAAAGCACTTTAACAGGATGCAGCTTTTTCACTTTTTTCAATACTTGATGCTCATATAATAAATTACCCTCAATCTCACCACTCCTGGCTGCCCAACCCGTGGGAGCCGCTCTATCTACTCACATAAAGAGATCAGCCCGTTGAAGCTCCCCGAGACAGATCAAGCCCTTTGTGCAAGAAAAAGATTCTGGCTGAATCAGAGCCTCTTTAAGCCACTGCAGAATTTTGCTGTAGCAGATGACCGTTAGCCTGAAATTGGAGACAGCAAGTAGAGTACCCAACTTATTTAAAGTTGGTCACTTTTCTTTTGAGAAAGCTTCCAAAGAGGTAGCTGTGTGAGGAGCTGGAAACAGTTTTACAAAAGTTGCAATGAAGACTTTGTCCTCTGCGGCAGCGGCTCTTTCCCTGTCTACTCCCATTTTCAGCAGGCAACCAGGGATCACAATTTTCTTTGACGGTGCCCTCATAGTTCCTATACCCCCACAAGCACATCCATGAGACAGTCAAGGTCTGCCAGATCTGGCCTCTGCTCCCCTGGTGAGCAGAAGGCCTCCTTGAAGTTGGGGAGGCTGGTGGGCAGCCACAGATCGCAGTCATACATGGAGGTGTCTATGTCCTCAAAGACCCCCTCCAGGCTATCTTCCAGGAGGTAGCCACCAGGGCTCAGAAGGTCCAGGGTGCTAGAAGGGCAGGCAGGGGGTGTCCATTCAGCCTCAGGGCTGAGCAAACACAGCTGGCGCTCTTCGGGCTGACCAATATCACTCGAGTCCTCCGAAAAGGCCTGTAAGGCAGATGAGTCCCCATTGGAAAGGAGGAGGTCGCCCACGTATGGGGACAGAGAAGTATGGGGTGACATCAGCCTCCAGCTGGGCTCTGACAGGTTGCAGGCCAGGGCACTGGGCATCGGGCTGCCCTCAGAAGGGTCCTCCTGGCCTAAGGTGGCCTGGAGAATAGGGGCAGGCCCTGGTTGCATCTCCCCCTGGAAGCGACGGAGCGTGTTGGCCACCAGCACCAGGTGCCTGAGGTTGGGCTCAACATGTTGCAGACTTTGGTGGAGCTTGGAGACAGACAGGCTGAAGAGAGAGCTGCACGGCGTGGCTGCAGCAGGCTCAGCCTCCTCTTCGGTCCACTTTCGCTTCATGGCTTTCATCAGCCGATTTCTGGAAAAGAACAGAAGGGAAACCATCAGTGATGCCAACCCCAGCCAGGGGGCCCAGCTCGGCCCATGGGTCAGCCCTGCGAAGCAGGCCAAAGTACAGACAGAGAAAGGATTTCAGGGATGCTATTTTAGTGTTGCAGAATATAGTTGTAGAACTGAAAGCCTACTGGGTATCCCTCTGCCCCACCCCTACCCAAAGACCCAAGCAAGGTTACTTCCGGTTTTTTTCTCACCCCTTTACTCAACTGTTCTTGATTTCCTTTTCAATATCACCTCCCTACCTCTTGCCAAGGTTCCCCTCTGATCTCCAGGCACCTCCTGATCCAGTTCCAGGCCTCCCATCCCACCCTGGCTGCCATCGGGAGCGGGAAATGTGTATCTGGAAGGTTGCAATCAATTCCGGGGGGGGGGGGAATGAAGACGTCTTTTGCCTCTGAGCAGCTCCTTGGCGGCTCCCGTGACGGTCTTTACCCGGCAGGTTTCCCAGCGGTTCATGTTTCGGGAACCAAATCACTTCTAAAAGTTGCCGGTGGGGAGCTTGGCGACACCAGGGAGGACGGACGAAGTGAGGGGATGGCGGCCCGCAAGACTACCGGAAGCTGGGAGTCACCTCACCTGGCCTGCTCATCTCATACCCGCGACGACGGAGCCCCTCCGGGGGAGGGGGAGGAACCAAAGCCACCTCGAGCGCCCCCGGACCGGCGGGCAAGCGCTTCCCTCCCGGCGTCCCACCGGCTCAGCTGCGCCGCTGGCCGGAAAGGGTTGGGCGCTCGGGACTCCGGCAGAAGCGCGCAGGGAGGGAAGGGCGCGCGGCGATCCCCAGCCCGGCTGCGCGCGGCCAGCGACGGAGGCGCCTGCCCTGTCCGTCCCCTCCTGGGCGGGCGGGCGGGCGAGCGAGCGGCGCGGAAGCTGAGGGTGACTCACGCCAGCGGCGGCCGGCGCCTCCCTCGCCCGCCTCTCGCGCCGCCTGACCCCCCGGCCGGCGGGTTTCCGCGGGCCCCGGACTCACCTACCCGGCTGCTCAGAGGCCACTCAGCGGGATCTGGAAGCCGGCGCGTAGCCAATCGGCGGCCAGCATACTCCCCCGGCGATCCAGGCGAATCTCTCGGGTTCGACGAGTGGAGGATCGCTCGGGGCGCCCTGCGTGGGCGGAGGAAGCCTTCGCGACCAATGGGAGCGCTCCCACGAACACCTCATCTCCATAGAGTGGGCGGACACAACGAAAGGAAGGGCGCCCGACCGAACCAACCCACGAGGCCACGCTGATTGGCTGGGCAGGGGAGCGGTTTTCAAATCTGTCCGGCAGGGGGCACTGCCGCGGAGTCCGCGCCTCGACTGCGGGTTGGGGAAAGGGCGACCCCTAGAGGCGATGCTCGCAGGCGCCTTTCCCTGCGGCTGCAGGCGGGCGGCGTTCGCAGCGGCCTCTCGCCCGCCGCGCCTCTTCCGAGTCTGGGGGCACCAGGGCGAGGCCGTGCGATTGCCCGGAGGGAGGCCGGTGGTCCCCCGACGCAGGACGGTTCCGCTGCGCTGCGGCTGGTGGAGAACTGAAACGCCCAACCCGCAGACGCCTCGTCCGCCTCCTCGGAGAAAGGTGTGAGGTCTGAAGAAGCATCAGGGCCGGGTTTCAAAAACACTCCCGCTTTTTAATATATTTGGTCAACTGGAGGCAGCGAAGACACCTAACGCTCGGGCATATTTCCTCATCACAACAACCCTGTGAGGTGGGCTGACCGAGAGAGGGACTGGCCCAATCGCCCAGCTGGCCAAAAGGGAGGATTAGAACTCACATCTCCCGGTTTCTAGTGCAGCCTGTTCACTGCTGCACCACACTGACTGTTGTGTTATATGAATCCATCTAATCATGGCTTATGCAATAAATCATAGTCATGACCATTTTTAATTGAATTGTTGTGACTATTAGCTCAATCTTTTATTTTACTATTCATGAAATCCTGTTTTTTCATGTTTCCCTGCATGGAAAGCAGCTATTGCCCCAGACCTCCCGTGTGGCCACTAAATGCCCATCCGTGTTTATTCCCTTGACATTTGTGTGTCCCAGTGCAGGTGCGTCAATGGCCAGGCAAGATGCAGCCCCCCCCCCAAAAGCACACCCAATCTGTCCTCCCTCTTTGGGGCTACTAGCAGGGAGCAAGAATCTCCCCGTGCGCTCCACTCTTCTCCCTTTTAACCAAAACACGAAGAATTAATGGTTCAGCGCAAGATATTATTGAAAACTCCTTCAAAGACAGTTCTTAATTAGATCCAAGTGATCGCATTACCATCCAAATAGTTTGGTATTTATTTGATTAGCTGCTTATACTTTGTATGCTTTCAAGTTGCACAGAACTTTGCAAGCATCAACATGAATTAAGGTTTCTTAGCAACACAGGAGGAAGATTAACATTAACCTGGGGATATTGTTACTTGCCGTCCAACCTTTTACTAATTCTGATGGGTTTGTTTATAGCTGGATACCTAATTTTCAAGGTGGCCTCTGCATCCAACCTGCTCTCTGCTGATGAAAGGGGCTTGGCTACTGCCTTCCACTTAGAACACAGAATCATAGGGTTGGAAGGGACCTTGGAGGTCTTCTAGTCCAACCCTCTGCTCGAGCAGGAGATCCTAGACCATTTGTTCTATGGTTCTACCATTTGCGCTGTGCAAAGGCTTTCTTCGTTACAGCAAAAATACTTGCTGCCCAAAGAGTCCTTTCTGCCATGGGGAGGAAGTTGCAGACCACCGGCCCCCGCAGGAGCCAGAGCCTGCCCAGCTGCATTTGGATTCAGGGGAGCTTCAGCCCACAGGGGCTGCTGGCAGCTGGTCTGCCTGCTGCAGGGCGCTGGGGTGGGCATCTGCTGCCCTCCTGGGCTTCCTACGAGAGGCGGGGAGGCACTCAGTAGCACAAGGGACGGAGGGGGGCAAAGGCATCCAAGGCAGTGATTTCCGGCCTTCTGAGGAGGGGTCATGGCTTGGGATAATGCCTGGAGAGGTAGACATTTTTCCCATCATACTCAGGCGTGGTCAGACACTTGAGAAAGAAGTGCCCCAGGTCATGCTTGGAGATGACTCGGGCGCTACTCGAGCTGTTCACGGTTACAGTGTATTCACCGGTGAGGGGCTGGTCACCTGCAGGAGGAAGAACACCCATTGCCAGAAGCCATATCCAAAACCCAACTGGGCCAGCCATTCAGGGAGCAGCCCTGGCTCAGCCACAGTTGGCTTCTTCCCGATTTCTGGAATAAACCATAATGGCAGTTCTATCACACATTCAACAGAAGCCAATCTGGCCACTGGGCGTTATTTACCTTGGGATAACCAGATCGAGCCCGCTGCATTTAAAAGAAGCATTTTGACCAAGCTCGCTCTTCGTTTAGCACTGAAAATGGGGCACATTTCTACATTAGGGGGTTCTGGGTTACCCCACTGGTGGAAAATGGTTTTTTGTGCATGGATGATTTTGCTGACTACCTCTACAGTCACAAACCCTTCCTGTGCCCAGATTGACCTGGCGGTTGCCGGCCACTGTGCTCCGACCACCCAGCTCTCTCCCCAGGGCACACCTGCAATGTGAGGCGGCATGACATAGACGCAGTCCAGGCCTGACTCTTTCAGGATCTGCTGCATCCGGATGTGGTCTTCGGTCACTGGCCGCAGCTTGGTGGGAACTTTTTCCAGGTCCCACATCAGGAAAGCTACAAGCAAAAGCCCCAAGAGAAACCCCTCATTGCAGTGCCTGGGTCTCCCCTGCAAGGGCAGCCCAAGGCCGACTCAACTCGGCCCACCTCTTTGCGGGAGAGGGCGAGAGCGTCCAAGGGCCTTGGGAGCCTAAGCTTAACAGCCCAAGATGAACAGCAACAAGGAAAGGACTCTGGAGACCAAGGAAGGCAAAAACCTCCTTGCAGGAATCCCAGGCAGCTCAGCACACCCTGTGGGGCCCATCCCCTGTTTGGTCTGGAGAAGAGCAGAGGTGAGGCCATCATCCCCCTTCCAGCCTCCACGATCTCCAGCTGCCTGGAACCATCTCTCCATTCTCTTAACTCCCTGAGACCCAATGCAGTTCTTTTCCCCGAGGAAACCCGGGGCCATCAGACAGGCAGCAAGGGGGTGCTTTCTGACCCATCACTCAACGGGAGGTCCTGTCCAGGAGGCAGGAGAACATGACCTTTGCGCGGGATGCCTACCTGAGAGACAGACCACCACTTTGCGGATGCCGCAGGACTTCATGGATGCCACGATGTTCCGGGTGCCTTCGGACATCATTGTGGTGGGACCTGAGAGGCAGAGAAGGAAACTCATGTGAGCCAAAAGCCTCGGAACAGGGAGAGGCGGGGGAGGAAGTGCCACCACTCCTACTGAGGTCATTGCGGGTGCCCAAGATGATGATCACAGCGTCCTGCCCGCTCACGGCTCCATCGACGTCTGCCCGGTTCAACACGTCTCCAACCACCACTTGTGCTGGCTGTAGCTCGGGGGGCAGCCGGACAGGATCCCGTACCAGCACCGTCACGTGGTAGCCTGGCAAGGGGGAAGAGAAAGCAGCTGGTCAAGGCGTCTTCCCACAAAGCTCTTGGAGGGAGCAGCAAAGGAAGCCTCAGAGCAGGCGGGTGAAGGCGGCTTCAGTCCTTTGCCCTGAGTGGGTGAGCAAGGTGGGGACAGTTCAGAGGAGGAATTTCTGCCCCCGCCCTGCTGGCCAGCACTCTCGCCTGTCCTTCTGCCCCTCCCCCCACTTAGGCCACAAGACTTTCCTCTCCCTTTAACGTTTAATTGTCTCCTCCGGTTGTTCAGCATTAAATGCTTTGTCTTTTTAAAATAACTTCAGGTAAATTTCTTCTTGGCTTGTTCACATGTTTAAGAAATAAATTACAGAGGAAACGCTAAACCTGTTTGGCCTGGCAGCATTTTTTGTATTGCAATTTCTTGTGTGGTAAAACTTTCTTTTTTGGAACATTCTCCAGGACATTTTACGCCACTTGCTATCCTTAAATGGGCCCTTCTAACTAATTCTCTTGTGGAGGCATTTTTCCTTTGAAAATTAACCAGAGCTGCGTTGGGCAATTCTGGCATTTCTCCCTGCCTCTGTGCCAAGTTTGAGAGCACAGGACCAACCCCATCTATGGGGCAGCTCAGCCCCGCTTAAATGAAATCCAAGCCCTCCCCCTCTCCCCCCTATGCTATTCAAGTTACCTTGCCTTCCCCCTTCCGTCCATGGCTTCACAAATGGCTGGCCCAGAGGACCATTGTACCTTGGAACTCAGAAGAAGCCTAATCCTACAATCCACCAACTCTCCCCACCTGGGCTGACCGGCCCAAAGGCCCTCAGCCCCTCCACAGTTATGGCTGCGATGCCCATCCAGAGGATCACTGGGGACCCCTTTTCTCAGGGGGCTTCCATAACCAAAACAATTGTAGCCCCTCTCCCCTCGCCAATTAGTTCAGCTCCCAAAGAAGCCGCAAGGTCCCTGCAGGGCTGGCCCCACTCTCTCCTCCTTATCACTGCACAGCACAGGGCAAGCAGGGGAGGGGAGGATGCCAGGCGACTTGTGATAGCCAAGGCCTTGCATCCCAAGCGCCTAGCCAGCCCCGGCCCCTTCAGCCTGCCAAGCACATTGGAACAGGAACAGGGCTGCTTTGGGGATCAGGTCTGCTGGCATCACCTGCTAAACCAGCCCTGAGAGGTCAGGGGAAGCTCCCACACCTGGGCCATTTCCTGAAACCAAACTATGGATTATGGCCTCACTCGTAGCACCAACACCATGGAATAACTTGCAGGTGCAATGCCAACTGGGGAAATGCATGCCTTTTATCTTCACCAACCCCACTTCGCAAACAAATAAACGGTACATAGCAGCTGCCCGCTGCTCCTTCGGTATTCGCCTCCCCCCCCCCGCCCCCAGTTGTCAGCCGCTGGGGCGCTTCTCCGGGGAAGCAGCCGCTTCCCGCGCGTGTCCTTTCGCAGACGGGGGACGATGCGCCCCTTCGCGGGTGCCCCGCTTGTTCTGTCCCCCCGCAGGCTGACGCCCCTGCCCTGCCTCACCCGCTTCCAGGGCTTGAGCCAGGGTGGCCAGGCCCGTCATGCCGGTGGCGCCGAAGATGGCGATTTTCTTGCAGGCTGCGGCAACCGGGCCTCCAGGCGCGCGGCTTTTCTCCATGCCGTCGTCGTTGCCTCCTCGTCGCTCCAGCCCAGGCCAAAGCAAGCCCTTCCGCTTGGAGCTCCGCCCGGGGAGGTAGGGCCAGCGGAAGGCGACGCCTCGCCGCTTCGGTTCCCGCGGCGAGCAGAGCGCCCGCGAGCCGCAGCGGAGGCCAGGGGCTCGAGCCCCCGCGGGCTCACTCGGGGTCGCAGCGGAACAAGCAACCGTTTCCTCCGCCGGCACGCTTGCCTCCCGTCCCCGGGTGCTCGGAAGAGCCGCTGGCCGGCCCTGGGCGCCCGAGGGAAGCGCCCGCGTGGGCCGTCTCGAAAGGCGCGGGAACGGTTTAGACAAGCCGCGGGCTACAGTCTGAGCCCCCTCGGTCGGGGCGCCTCCCTGGGAATTCCCGCCCGGCCCGGCTTAGCTTTAGGCTTGTCTGTTTGGGGAAAACAGGACAGCGCGGCACGGCATGTGACTCAAAGAGAGGCCGAGGGACCGGGAGGGGAGGGGCGGGAGGAGGGGCCTTACCCGCAGCACCGGGAAGGGGAGCCCAGCCGGCAGGCAGAAGCTGCAAGGCTGTGCTGTAGTTCTTTCGGGCAAGGCGTCCCCGCGCAGCTCTCCGGTCCCCGGGCGGCACTGGTCAGCCATGCGGGTCCCTCCATCGCGGCTCACTCCGATTTGGCGTGGTCGGCCCAGTTACCGGCGAGAGGAGCCGCCGCCTCGCTCGCGCCTTCTTATCCAAGCTGCCGGGCGTTGCTCCGGTTCTTTCCGCCACAGCCGCGCAGCCCTTTTTTCCAATTCGAGCTACGCCTCCTCGGCACTCGCAGCCGCGGGCGCCCAGCACTGCGGTGCCCCTCGCTCCCACCAGCAGCCGCTGCTCGCGTCCAGAAGCTGGCGGCCGGACGGGAGGAAGTCAAGGACTGGCGCAAGGTGAGCCGCTTCGCCCCCGCCTGCTGCCGCAGACCCGTCCGGGCAGCTCTCCTGGCGGGCGCGGGCTGCCGGACCGCGTGCTCCGGAGCTGCTGAGCGGCGGGAGGAAGGAGGGCCGCCGCAGCTCCTGGAAAGCGGCCCTTGCAGCGGGCGCGGCGGTTGCGGGAGGGGGGGGGGCTCTCCGGCTTTCGTGGAGGGGCGGAGCGGCGCTCCTGGATTGGCTGCTGGGCCAGGACGGCGATAGCGAGACAGGCATAGCGAGGCCGCGGCCGGTACCGCCGGACGGCTCTGCTCTGCTCCTGCGACCGCTGTCGAGAGCGCCCGCCAGCAGCATCTCGCCCGGCCGCTGCCGCCGCTTCAGGCGGCAGGGAGGGGTGAGGCCCCGCAAGTCGCCGGTGCTCAGGTGAGGTTGGCCAGGCCGCGGCTGCGCTCGGGGGAGGAGGCCCGAGGGACCCCGTCGGGCTCTGATGACAGGACCAGGACCGGGAGCGAAGCGGAGAAGAGCCGGAGCCGGTTCTCCGGAAGCCTCTCAGGAGGGGAGGGGGCAGGCCGAGAGTCGGGGCGCACAACAGATGGTCAGCACTTCCGGACCCAGCCGCCCTTCGGGGGTCACCCGTCCCCGCAGCAGAGCCATTCCCCGGGGCGGGGTAGGGGCAGAAAGGTCCTCTTGCCTCCGTGGGGCAGAACCCCCTGCAAGCCTATGGAGGCTGCTGACGGGGTGAGGAGGGGTCTTCTGAACCCTGGGCTGTGTCTGCCCCATCAGGATAGAAGGAAGGAGGCCTTAAATGGTGGCGGGGTGAGGGGGATCATCCAGGCCCTTCATCCCTCCCTTGCTGAGCCCTTTTTTGCAAAACAAGGCCAGGGATCTGGTTCCTTCTCTGTCCAGGATGGGATGAAACAGCACCTCTCCTTCGGCCTTGCAGTGATGAGCTGCAGATTCCCAAACCTGTCAAAATTTGGGCTGCTTATTCGGGGTGTCCAAATGGGGTGCAAATGATGGGCATCAACAATGTGATGAGAGGACCTCTTGCTCCCCTGCAGGGGATCAGGTGGTTTGCTGGATGGGGGGGGTGTTCCCCTGAGCCCTCCCTGCACCCTGCACCCTGCCTGGGGCCTTGGAGCAAGGGAGCAGGTGCCAGGCTCACGTTCATACCTTGCACTCAGCCCCATGTGCTGAGCTCTATCATAGAAGCTTCACCCACAATGCCCGGCCATCGTCTGCTTCCCGGCCCCTGGCTTCCTTGATGGGTGACTCTCAGGGGGCCAGGAACCCCATTCTCTGAGCGGCTCCTTAAGATGGCCAGGCACCCCAGGGCTCCTGAAATCACCTGTCAAAACCCACTGAACGTGGACCTTGCCTTAAATATAGGGAGGGAGGAATGATTCTGTCACACCATGTGGCCATGACCTGATGCTGTGAATGCCCCCTGAGGGCTTTCCCCCTGGTAACTCACCCCCTCTACGGGCCAAAGGGGCTTTGGGAAGACACCTGGGCTTAGTGGGGCGCCAGGGGCATGGCTGGCTGCCCACCCACCCTGGGCCGGTCTTCTTTCCAACTTTTATGATGTGTCTTAAAATGAGCTGCAGACAGATCCTCTAAGGCTGCTTAAATTAACCTCTTTAGCATTCAAAATGACTTCAAGTAATTTGCCTTTTAGCCTGTCTTCCCTAGCAATAAATATCTATTCCAAGCCTGCTGCTCCATAGAGGGTGGCTTTTGTTGGGGTCAGACTCTGTCCTTCCAGCCCCCCCCCTTCCTACATTGATTCAGGAGTCAGCCACCCTCCATAATCTAAGCTGCAGCTGTTGCTGCCACAGACTCCCCTCCTGGGGGGGGCACTTCTGACTCCCAATCATGTTCCGAATGGGCCAGATAAGTTCCTAGGGAAGGAGAGGGAACTCATGGCTCCTGTGGGGCTTCCATATGCAGAAGGGTTTGGACCCCCCACCTCCAATTAAGGCAGTCCAGCTGCCTTGAGGGTATCCAGGTTGCACCGTGAGGGAAAGGGGGGGGGCTGGTTCAAACAAATGAGTTCTGCTCCCCTCTCACCTGCTCCAGGGGACAGCAAAGGCCAAACTGGCCAACATGCACCGATTTGCATGTTCTTGTAGTGTGTCTTTTCTCAGCCTTGCCTGGCTGGCTACACTGGGGACTGGTTGAAAGGGGGGTGTCTGCCAGCCCCCCTACATCCTCACCAGAGAATCAGCCAGTTGGTGACCTCTCGCACAGTCTTTGGTACCAGGTGTAGGCATGGCAAAGCAGATGTGCCCTACAGGCGCTCCCTTTAACAGCTGCCATTTTCTTTTTCATTCTTTCTTTGGAATTCTGAACTCAGCATGTAAGTGGCGGGTGCAGCTTCAGGGGTTCATGTCACCCCTTTATGGGGCTCCCAGGAAAGCAGCAACATGGCAAATATTACACCGGTTCAGCTGGATAATCAGGAGGCCCAGCAGCAACTCAACAATACCCGATGGGAGGGCACCGACTCTCCCCACCCCCGGCCTTGGGAGGAGGCTACGGCCACTGTCAAGCTCTTCGAATGCTCACGGATCAAGGCCCTCGCGGGTAGGGCTGCCTTCCACCTGGGCTCCTCTTGTTGGGCAGGAAAGTATACCTTAGCGATGGGGAGGGGCACCGAAATGGGGCTGAGTGAGGGTGCTTCCCCTCTGAAATGGTGCAGCCAATGGATTTTTAAATAAAGAGGAGGGGTTTTATTTCAGAGGGATCTTCCTTAAGTGCGGAGTGTGGGGAGGGGCAGAGCCAAGCCTGGTTGGCAGGTGTGCCTACCTGAAGCTGAGCCCTGAAACCCACGGGATGGTGGTGGTGGTGGTGGTGGTGGTGGAATGGGATTGCTGGACCAACTCCCAGGAATCTCCATGGGGCAAGGCTCTGGGAATAAAAGTCTAGTACCAGGAAGAGTGAGAAGGTAATGCTGGGCAGTCTGGGATTGGGCCCCACTGTGGCTGTCACCTCTCTGTGTTTAAGCAACACCAGGGCCCCCCGTGGCTGCAGCTGTGGTCCTTCCCCCAGAAGCCCCCTGGGTCAATGAGAATGAAAAGCGCACTGGGGTGGGATGGCCCTCAAGCCAAGCCCTCTCTTGAGGATGGCCCTTGAGCTTCCAGAGGAGCTGGTGGGCTCTCTGCGGGGTGAGAGATTGGCCTAATGCCCCCCCCTCCCCGTGAATTTTGTCAGACGAGCGAGATGCAGTGCAGAAGAAGACTTTCACCAAGTGGATCAACTCCCACCTGGGCCAGGTCTCCTGCCGAATCAGCGACCTCTACACAGACCTGAGGGATGGATACCTACTGACCAAGCTGCTGGAAGTTCTGTCTGGGGAGCAGCTGGTAAGGGGGTCTCTCAGCTTTTTCAGGGATGATTGCCCCGCAGGATGGAGGGAGGTATGCCTCTTAGGGCCAGAGAGGCTGGTCGCTCCTGTAAAGGGGGGTGAGCTTTTGAGACAGTTGGAGCCCCCTTGATTTTTGCTGGGTAACTTCAGGCCCCAGGGCCAAAGGGGGGGGGCTGAGCCCTGAAAGGGAAGGCAGTGAAGGGAGGGAAGGGGGCTGGTAGAAGAGTGGTTGGTAAAGGCAGAAGACGGGGCTGTTTTGTTGTAAATCTCTTAACCAAATTCTGGAATTCTGCAACCGATTGTAAATGCAAGTCAATTGCCAGAATACGATGCTACGATTGTGCCTTTGAAGATGGGTTGTGAGTAACTTTTTTTCAAATCTGTTGTAACTTTGAATGGGCATTATACTATTGGTCATAAGTCAAGAACTAACTATCAGTGTTACTTATGCTGTGACAGCATTTTAATTTTATTGCAATTGTGCAGTTTTAAAGGTTATTTGTACATGTCAATTCTGAATGTGCTTAGACTGTGCCTTGATGGGAGCAGTAATATTTTGATTGGCTTCTGTGGCAGCCCAAACCCACCCGGGGGAGGATGCGGATCCACTCCCTGGAAAATGTGGACAAAGCCCTGCAATTCCTGAAGGAGCAGAGAGTCCACCTGGAGAACGTGGGTTCTCATGACATTGTGGATGGCAACCACCGCCTGACCCTGGGCCTCATCTGGACCATCATCCTGAGATTCCAGGTAGGGTAAGAGGGCAGCTCTTCCAGAGGGGCTGACAGAT